ATGGAACGGACCCCAAATTAAAAAGCTACAAACTCCAACAAAAGACGAGACAAGGCGGTCAAGCTTGGCCAAGTCACCTCTGAGGACTCGGAGAAGAAATATTGTTTGGGAGATTAAACATAGGGGCAGGGCTATGTCCACAGATAAACTACGAGGTAAGCTAGTTTTGAGCTTTCAAAGTGTTTGTTGAGAAGGAACACAAAAGGGTGGACTGTGAGTAAGGTGGAATGTTTGGTCAATCAAAGTTGGGCTTTGAGAATGGTGAAGGATGCATTTGACAAAACTAATCTTGACATACAAATACAATTTCATGCTGGTAAATCCAAACTCACTATAGGATCACTAGACCAGAAGAGCAAAGCTCTAGACCAGAAGAGCAAAGCTCTAATGTGTTTTAGTATCATTATCATTACGATTAGCAGCTTTTAACTAGATGTGTCAGGCCCACTTTTAAGCTTTTTAAATACCCGCTATTTGTCGGGCCAATAGGCTACCATGGCATGTTATAATTTATTCTAAAGCTAATTCTCTCAGGAAACAACTACATTTTACTTATTTAAATAAATACATTTGTAAATCAGTCTATCTATGCCGCGTTTACATTGACCTAATTTTGTTTAGAAAAAAACTACCAAAAATGATACCCATACCATTATTCAATATGAGGTATTGAATAACTTATTCTTATAACATATAAGATGCCCTATGTGAGGCAAATTGCTATTTTTGAACCAATAATGTGCCTCTGTTTAAAAAAAAATCCAAAGAGACTCCTGTAAAACAAGGAGTGTCTAAACGTCAGTACACGTAGAGCTGTACATGGAGATTATTACACCCAATATATACAACCTAATAAATGATGTCATTCAGTTTTATCATCATCAAGAATGGGAAAGACAATCACATGACACAACTGTGCACACATCTGAGAGAAGCTTTAGTGTGTTTTTATTTGGATTGGACAACGTTAAAAGATAATCACTAGATAGTAACACCTATTCTGCAGTTGGAAAAAAATAAGATTACAATAATATAAAAAATAGTAAATATATATAAAGATATATATAAAGATAAAGAAATGGTTGCGTTTGTTACAATCTCTGAATATTGTGTTTTCGCACATGAAAAGTTTCATGTTGGAGGTTTTTAACTTGTAAAACCTTATTTCATGCAACATGCGTCTCTTGCTCTCATTTCCTCGATGTGTTCTCTGTTTGTTTGTTGTTTGATGCATCACTAACTCTGTTCAAAAATCCATTGAATCATCATCATTTCAATCATGATACAAAATATTTGTAACCTGTGATTAATATTTTCAAGCATCCTACACTGATGAGTGGCGCTGTGCCAATATTGATAATAGTTTATGGCAGATTCCCTTGCTTAACCAACCTTCACTGTTCATTAATTGGTAAATGGTAAACAGCTTGTGAATGATATATTTCTGCGTTTTATGTACTAAGGAAAGCTTCATAAATAATGATCAGGCCGTCAACACAGCAGCAGGCTCCAACACACTCTGTTATAGAACAAACTAGACAAATTGGCTTTGTTTCTGTCCGAACCACAGCCCACTGCAGCGCTCAGCTCAATACCCTCTCATTAGTCCTCTCCCCCTGTTCTCCCAGGGACGTGTGACCCCGGCTATTGTGTGAGCTGGACCTGTCCCGCCACGAGCCCTGCGCTGCACACTGCCCTGTCATTAACTGTGGATTTGTGGGACCCTCGCTCTGACCCCCCCGTCCTCCATTGCCCTGACCCTCCTCCTCCAGCGGCCACGTGAAGTGAGATAAACAGGCCCTCCATGTTTATCAAGGTTAACCCCCACACATCGGCATGGACACCTCTGACACCTCTGTCTGGGGCTGAGCAACATAAATAAATAACATATTTGTTTTTTCTTGATGATCATCTATCATCACTTTCTGTTCATGTTCGCTCAGGCCTTTATAGAACAATATGTCTATCAATACAATATTTATGGTTATTCAGCGCAGTTTAACAAAAAAATCTAAACAAATTTGGGCATTTTCATGTTTTCAGATGCCATGAATGCCTCTGTTTTAAATAATCTGCTTGAGCCCCAACTCAAACAATTTCAATAGTTGTATCTACCCGACAGAACTGTAATCACAATACGTAATCACCAAAACAGAAATAAAAAAACAAGTAATAGAAGAATGGTTAAAGGGAGAGTTTGAGTCGGCTCGTATATCAAAGTAAATTCTAGCATCTTCAGCTGTTTTGCACCGTAGCTTCTCATTTTTGCAGTTTTCATCAGAAATGTCTGTAATTTAAATGAAGTAATCCATCATAAAAAATTATGGTCAACTAAGGAACCATCAACCAATTAATCAACAAAAGACAGATTGACAGCCCTACTGAACTCTAGTCCAAACTAAATATAGAAGATATCATTTTACAGACTACAACACTGTCAATGAAAATGTTAAAAAGTGTGCAGCTCAATGCAGAGGATCCTTAAAAAAACAAAAACCTAACCAGATTTCTTGTTTGACTCCACATAGATGAACCTAACTTGTTTGCTGTTTTAGACATAACTTCAATATTTTAAGATGCAGGAGAAAGGTACAGTATTTGTTTAATCATTTAACCAGGAAACTCCCGTTGCTATTCATTCTCAAGTTCGCAAATTAGGTAATCGTTTTGGTATTTTAACCCTTTAATGTTCACTCCTTGAAGAAAGTAATTACACATTTTCTTAGATGTAGGAGCACTAATAACAAATAATAATGTGTGTTTATGTTTTTTGAACCCCCATATTTTTTACTTATAGGTCTTTCACAAATGGCTCAGATGCAGTTTGATTTTAAAAGTTCCTAAAACCAAGTGAGATGCCCCTAAGAGGTATATTTAAGTTCCAAGCAAGCTTTAAGTAGTTATAGTGACTCAAAAAGTGATTTACCAAATGGTTGAGGAAACCATCAAAGGGTTAAGTTAGAGAAAGTGGAGCGCCCAAAAGAAATCTCCAAAGACATGAGTAAAGCCTCATGCTGCCCTGGTGCTAAACTGGGGACTCACTGAGGTCAGAGGAGACGAACCATGTTTTAAATACAAATAGGTCAGCATGTCATGGTGTGGATTTTGTTATTTTGTACCTTGGTTTTATTTTGACATTGTTCTCTGTAGTTTGGTTTTGGTTTTACTTCCTGTCCTGTTTTCCCCTGTCTTGATTGTCTGCCCTGCCCTGATGTGTTTCACCTGTGTCTGTGTCTATTTGTACCCTGTGCTCCTCTCCCCTTGTTGCTGGTTCATTATATTGTCAACGTCTGTCTTGTCTTGTATTGTCTTGTCATGGTCTGTCCTGTTCTGTCCTGTTCCCTTTGGGTTTTTGAGATTTGTTTTCACTTTGGATTTTATTTTATTAAATCTTTATTTTTGGATTCTCGCATTTTGGGTCCTCCATCATTTCACCACATGACACAGCACAGAGAACACATCATTCATAACAGAATGTATTTATATTTATCATTTTCCATATTGTTGGTAACCAGCTTAAGCAAATTATACTTTTATGATAGAGCTAATATTTGCTGTTATGTTTCAGGCAGGGTGAAAGACGCTGTGGCTGTTTTAGCATTGTGAGATTTATTTAGTTCCAGAAGTCCAACTTTTGTTAGATGCATTTGTGAACAAAAGCGCAAACATTTTCCCATTCTCATAAATTGCCTCTTTGTGGCCATTTATAGAGACTAAATAGTGGTATTGATATCTGTATGAATAGTGGTGTGGATTGAGCCAAGTTTGACCTTCTCTTTCTCTTTGTTTCCAAATAAAAAATGTCCACAAAAAAACAGTCATGGCACCATTACTCTCAGTCGAGTAAAAGACATTAACATTAAAAGCACAAAAATCTTCACATTTGAATAAAAAATTTAACCAAGACATTTCCAGCACATTCAAAATTAGTGTTACTCAAAACTTAATTTTAATACTAATGAATAAACTTGATATGCGATAAGATGTTACACAAAAAAACCTATAGCCTACTTGCTATTATGCCACAACCCTTTTTGTCCCAGTTTTTCAAATGAATTGCCATTTCAAAGCAGTGGAGAGTCTGGAGACAGGGAGCTGCTGCTAATCAACCATAGTCATGAACAAAAGGGTTAAAACATCCACAAACCATCCAAAAAATTGAAACATATTTAGGCACTCGCTTGATTGGAATAAACAGCTCTTATTTGAAGTGAAAAAAAAAAAAGTAAATAAAGAAATAAAAAACATTCAATTGTCCTATCTTTTTGCACAAGACACAAATGAAAAATGTTTTGTTTTGTCAATCAGGAATTTCCAAAAGCATAAAAAACAGATTAATCTAAACTAAAACTAGTATCAAAATTAGATCATTTCAAGTAATGATACTGAAAAAAAAAAATCCTTCACAAAAACAGACAAAATGTGAGATTTAGATTTATTTCAAAGCCGATCTACTGATAAACTCTGTGGCACCATTAACACAAGGTTTTACTAGTTGCGTTATTTTGTTTTTCATGTAAAAAATAGGTAGCTCATAATTTATTTTTTAGAATATCACTGTGGTACAAAAGTGGTGCCGAGTGTTGCAACGATCGATACGTCATTACTAAACAAGATTTTTCTTTTATCAATCAAGCAATTGTTAACTGATCTATTTAAAGACTCTGGCAACATAAGAAAAGCATACACGTCTCAATGTAATTATAAAATATCAACAACAATAATAATTGGAAATAATCTATTAGACCTGTGCTGGAGAAGCTTAAACTTTTGCATCAAATTTAGATAGATATTGCATGTACAGTATGCTTTTAACAACTACTAGATTACTCAAATGAATAAACGCTTGTCTATTTCTTAGTAATAGAATGGAGTTTGGAAATGTAGTATTGTTTAAGTATTTATAAATATGTGATTTTCGATACTTTTGACAGCCCCATTCCTCATGCACTTACATGAAAAGAATACTGTGTTGAATACTGAGACGTTCCTCCTCGCCACTATCCCCCTCCCTCTTCCAGGCCGCTGTTCGACCATTTTAAGCAGCTCATAAACGGGACAGACTCCGCTCTGCATCTGTACCACTGTTTACTGTTACACCCATTACAGCGACAGCAGCGTGCCACCTGCTCCACCGCAAATACTGACGAGAGGCTGAAAGAGGAACAGCACACAGACTCCATAACCTCAGTGCTACAGTAAAACAAAGACCAGAGAGAGGACGTGGAGGCTGGCCGTATTAGTGGTTTGTTTAGTCGGTTCTTCGGTCAATAATCCAATAAAAAGAAGCCGGAGAACACACAGACATGTTCAACTCGCTAAGCACAGATCGTGTCCATATTGATTCATACAGTAAAAGGAAAGGAACAATAAAGTACAAGAAGAAAATCAATCGTTTTATATAGAATATTTTCACATGCTTTTTACCTAAGTTATTTCTCAGCTATGAGGAAGTGATATACTAGAACCTTTATATTAATGAATATGATATTCTCATTTCTCAAATCAATCCGTTGAATGATGCATTAAACAATAATCATTGATTGAATATGGCACTACACAGGTACAATCACAATAATCTGAATACGAGAATCAACTGTTTTCATGTGTTAGATTAGTGGGTCTTATTCCCAAATTGCTTAATCCTCCTGCTGTTTAAAATTGTGCACCATATTCATTTCTGAGCAGTATTTCAGATACAACAGTGGTAGACCTGAAAGATGCCTTTTGATATAAAACGATATTAATTACAAAGCCAAATCCCAATTTGCAAGAAATGAAATAGCTATTACTGAAAGTCCTACTGAAAGTCCTACTTTACACAAGAAAAGAGAGCTTGAAATTGAGTTTTGAGTATATTATAATTGTCTTGATTTAAGATTTGCCAATGAAACCAGTAAGTCTGATCTTATTTCAAAGAAAGAACAGCGTTTTGTGTATTGTTATTTTTATTGCAAATAAAGGGCTGCATTGAATGTAAAGCCACAATCTTGGAAAATCTGACTTTAAAATATGTTCCGGATTTAAAAAAAAAAATTGGGTCTTGTTATTTCTACTGGAGATATTTAAATATGCAGTAAACAAATACCCTTTGTATTTTGTTCAGCCTTACAGAATGGGAGTATTATGTAGTATACTTGAATGAATATGAGATTCCTTAAATCAGTACAAACAAAATACTCTCGCTTAGGTCCACATCACCAAGCATTGAGCAGAACCAATGATCCATGCACCAGACACAGACTGGCCAGTAACACAAAGCTTGGGGAAATTTGCCTGTGTTGATAGGAGCCAGTGGTAGTGACTGTAGCGCGAGCCTCTACTGCCCTCATGTGGACATATACAGTAACACCGCGTCATAAACAGACTGTACCATATATATGGTCAGGTATAAAATGCTAAATTGTATATCTCTAAATTTAAACCAAGGAGCGGATGCAAAGTATCAACAAATGATCGTAGTAATAAAATACATGTAACAAGTTTTTGTCTAAATAGGGTTGGTTCGAACGCTAGATTTCATATGCATACGTATGGTCTCTGTCACATCTTTAAAATCCTGTTTAGATTAGAAAAGTGGTGAGAGGACCACCCTCTCTCAGTTTATTATCTCTTAGACCAACGCGCATAGGGCTAAATACGTCATGTTACAGGTCTGTTGGGACAAACAACATGTATTATATAAAAAACAGTTCAAAAACATTAAAAACGTAAGTACAGCTTGTCCGGCTTAAACCCAATGTACATTTATCAAATACAATATTGTGAAAAATATTACATCTAGCACGAGACCAAAACTTCTGCCTCGTTTTCAAATGTCACCGAACTTGATAGAAATTGCAAGTCCTGTCGATTAATGCTAAAACAGACAGCCCTAAATACATGAATGAGAGAAAAAAATCTGTTCCAAAAACTTTTGATGCCACGTGGGTGGATCTGCCATGTTTTACCGCGATGTCGGGACTTACCTGATGGCTCCGGGTGATGCGGTTTTGGCCCCTGCGTCTTTCCCCGTGCAGCAGCCGTCAGTCCTCTCCCCTATCTGCTCCTTTATAGCCCGAATCCTCCAGCTCAGAGAGGCCATAGATTTTCGAGACAAAACCTAGGCCCTCAAAATTGATCTGACCTTGGAAAAAATAAATACATTGTCATCGATGGCGCTCATTAATGCTTTTCTTTGGCGAGGCCGCGGAGTGATTCACATTCAAACACAGAAACGTCAATGAGTAGAGGCATTCTTGTCATTATTGCACGAGGTTTATCAATCCTGCGCTTTTGATTCAACACTGCGATCAATACACGGAGTGCTGAGCTGAACTTGGAGATGTGTTCCGTGGGATTAAGTCCACCGTTTTGCGCATGGAATTATCAAAACCTGCTTGTCACTTACACTATTGCACTTTCCATCTTTATATTGGTTTAGCGGGGCTTTATTGCGCTCACTGGCACTTACCGTTTTATTGGGAAAAGGGCACAATGATTAGTCAAATGTCTTGTAGTCTATCGAGCTGCCACAAACGACTGCTCGAAAGTTATAGCTGCTTTGATGCTGAGAAAAGGAAAGGAGGGGCCGCGTGTCTGCTGGGGCCCACGTCGCCGATAATTAGTGATCAATCACGAATTGGTTTAAAACGTAGAAAAAGAACAGGGAGAGCACTATTAGATTGAAAAGTTTCACAGCTCTCCAGTAATTGCTTTGAATTATTTGTTTACATTTTACATACGCTCAAGGGTGGCACTGTTCAGGGAGTCCTACAGCTGCATTTGTCTCTTTACTGACTGGGGTGGAACTAGCACCACAGAAAATGTGATAGTACATACATATATATTAAGTAATTCCTTCCTCGTGTTTTCAAATAAATTGTATATGTACCGAGCAGTTATTCAAAGAATCACTCTATAGAGACATTCCCCAAATTGCTTGCTTCTGTATCTGCAGCCATAGAGGTTCCTCTCAGTGATGATACCTCCTATCCGTCACATCGTCAGTTTTGTACCCCAGCATCATTGGGTGTTTCAGCCTTTTATCACAAGACACCCTGCACCGGGGCAGGCCCACCACAGGCTGATCAGACCTGGGTGTGTGACGCATAGGCACTGAGTGGACTTTGCTCCCCAACTTGTCTCCCTTCGTCTCATCCACAGCCAATGACTGCTTCTTTCTGCTGCTGTGGCCAGTTCTTTTATTAACTTTCTCTGGGCCTGCCCTCTAATGCCTACATATTTCAAAAACTTTACAGTGGAATTTGCAACAAAACCCCTGCAGCCAACTTCTACAGGCCGCACCAGAACGGACCACCCCTTTTCTTCAGCCTCTGATGCAAGGTTGGAGTAACGCAGCTTCTTTCGTTCAAACGCTTCATCGATCGATTTCTCCCACGGAACTGTGAGCTCAGCAATAATCAGTCGATGACAGGAGTTGGACCACAACACTAAATCTGTTCGCAGGTTTGTCACTGCAATGCTTTGTGGAAAGACGAGACTTCTATCTAAGTCAACTCTCATTTCCCAGTCTCTTGCTGCGTCTAGAGTACTAACAATGCGTGGGGCTCGGGTGGCCTGTTTTTCACCCTCTTTTACAAACGCTATTGTGTTTTGGGCCCTGGATTGTGTCCGGGGTACTGTAGCATTTGTAGCAGTCTTTTTTGTTCAACAGCTAAGGCCAGGCACCGTAACACCTGATTGTGGCGCCAGGTGTATCTGCCTTGAGATAGCGAGGTATTACAGCCTACAAGGATGTGTTTCAGATTGGGCCTGAGCACAAGGAACATGTTGGGTCCTCTCCAAGCCATAGATTTAGGTTTGTTGGAGAGGGAAGTATGTCATAAGTGGCCTTAATGATGAAACTTATCCATTGGTTTCCATGTTCCACAGCTCGCTCCAGGTGATTTTCTTTTTGGCTATGCCCTCCCATGTCATCCACCTCCCTTGCTGTGCTTGGCCAACTGCTTTAGCACACCTGGCAAAAATACAACTTTCTGTCTGTGCATGGTTATAAACATGACAAAGTGTACAATGGTTCAGTTTTGCGAGTCATGGGAATTTGTTGACTATTTTTAATCCATGTTCTGCTCATTTTCCTCCAATGTGAGATCCTGAGAAACTGAGAAGAGAACAGATAGTCCTGTCATGAAATGTTTGTGTCTATCTGCTAAGTAAAAACAACATTATGATTGTGATAAGAAAATGGACTTGAGATGAATCAATTTTATTTAGTGCCTTAAGTAACCATTCAAGCAGGTTTGCGTGGATAAAGTATCCCAACCACAACCATGAGTGGGGAAAAATATATTTAATGTTCTGTGAAAAATGATTAGGCTTATAAATTCTTTCTGATTATTCCCATTGGTATATATATATTCCTTTGCTATTTTGTTTTATTTTTATGAATTCAAGAATATTTAGGGACAGGTTACAGGTTATATCTGTGCAACGTCAGTCCCTCTCCTTGGCAGAACTACGGCCAGTAAGATTTGCGGGAGGAGAAAAGGTTTACCAATGACAATGGGCCTCAATGACTTTCTTCAGAGCTTGCTTTAAATTTATTTCTCTCTCTCACAGTTTGAAAAGCAACTGGCATTCACTTTAATACTGGTACTTACCAAGCAATGCAATAACATACATGTCAACAAGTGTGTAGCGGTCTCATGCATCTGAAAAGTTAGTGCTGCCATAAAACGATGCACACATTTGTAAATTAGTGTAACAACATACTATTGTCCTATTTACTCTATTGAAGAGAATGAGGATGCATTTTTTGTGCCCTGAGCTTCCCATGACATGAAATCCCCCTCCCTTCATGCTCCCTCATTTTTTATTCTACAATCGTTTATACACAAACCTCCTCTGAAACGTTGATTATGTCTGATAACGCTTTACACCACAGGCTCCATGAATAGTCTCAGATTAGCCTGGTCGTACCACACCATAGTACAAATTACATTTCAGGAAATGATGATTGACCGGAGTGTACGGATGGCTAAGCCCAGGCTAGTTCCAGATAGTTCCATGTCAATGATGAATACAAAGATATTAATCCAACATCTCAAAGATAAGAAGGTAGAAGGTTTCAATTTTTTGGCCGCTGTAACGCCTGCCAGTAACAACCTGACTTTTTTTCCCAAGATAACAATAGTCTGTGACAGCAGGACATAGTGTTTTGTCTTGCGGGCAGTGTTGTGCAGGTCACCCTCAAAGTGTAATATAATACAATCCCATAGTTAGAGATAACATAATGTGATATATTTGCAATTCCAATTACTTCTGCTGTTTCTGGAAGATAATGTTCTTTTTGTCCCACATTTCACTATAAAGATCATAGTTCTTTCTCTCAATAGATTACAGAAAATAAAGCAATTCTGCACTTAAATTAAGTCAGAATAAAATAGTGGTCATGGTTGACTCACATTTTTTGTCTTTGTTTGGCAAAGTGTACACTCATTTGTGCCTGACCATCCAGCACAATCCAGATACAATAACTATACTGCTGTGGCCTCGGCTGGTCTGATATCCAGACCCTAACAACTTTACCTGTACTTTCCTTGTTGTATGAAAATGTAAGGTGATCTTTAAGATTTGGGCACCTGATTTTCAAGTCGTAAGAGGAGGAAGCTGGCATCAAAAATATAATACCATGTTAATGGCTTTTAGAGTACCATTAGACAGATTTTACCTCTTGTGTAGCGGTGACAGATCAGACAGATCATGTTAATCCAAGTAGACAATCAAAAGAATGTCACTCAGCCTCTCCCCAAAATGTGCTTTCTAGTTTTGGTGTGCTTTATGCAATTGACCCTTCACCAGTAATACATTCACAGAATCTAGGTAGGTCAAGTACAAACCAAAAGTGTTTGATTTAAAAATAACTAAAAAATGTCTGTAAAATTGCCAGTATAATGTTAATTTCAGTTCAAAAAGAATCCGGGCTAGGGTGATTCACATGGTCCTTACTGGCCTGCTTTTGTGTAATGAAAACTTTTACATAAAAAGGAAATGAAAACAATAAAACAATTGGGTAATGTGGTTTCACATAACTTTGAGAAAAACTCCAAGTTGTGCAATCTTGATGCATTGTTCTTAGTCATGATGATCTGAGGTCGTCTTTGTTATGAACATGATGTTCCTTACAGGACAGTCATTGTTCATTCAAGGACATGATGATGTGGCAGAACTGATAGTTTAAAAGGGCGCCACATAAACCAAGAGAGTTACTTTCCTTACTTTGGTTCACGATGGCTGTGTATTCTACTGCCTCACTGATGCTGCTGCTTCTGCTTGTATTTCTGAATGTGACTTCTGGATGTGAGTATCTGATGGATTCTACTTGTTCTTGAAACATGATTCTCTCATTTAAGCACTATGTTTTATGTATTCCAGGTGGAGGTGGACATGGTCAAGGCAGTGGCAACAACGGTACATTAGGCTGTTAACTAATGTTTTGGGGCATTCACACATTTAATTTAACTGTTGACAAAAGATGTTGAGGTCTAGGATCATGTCTCATGTTCAAGTTTTCCCTGCATTCATATGGTTGTATGATCAATGCAGTATTTGCCAATATATATGTTTGCTTTGACACTAGCAAGTTTTACACGAGTGAGTTATATCAAAAAGGAATAGTACAGTAAGTATTTATAAATGAACTAGTTACTCTCAGCACAAAGGCCATGTAACATCATAAATGTGTAATCAACAATTGTTAACAGCATGTAAATAAATGCTTTTATGCTTTGTAGTAGCAGAAACAAATAGTGGTTCGAAAAAAAGTGTTCTTTGTAAAAAGCTTGAGGCATTGTTTTCTGTATGATTTAGTTGTTAGATATTATTTTGTCTTTGTTTGGCAAAGTGGACACTCATCTGTGCCTGACCATCCAGCAGAATCCAGATACAATAACTATACTGCTGTGGCCCTGGCTCGTCTGGTATCCAGACTCTAACAACTTTACCTCTACTTTCCTTGTTGTATGAAAGTTGAACATGATCTTTAGAATTTGGGCACCGGATTTTCAAATTCTAAGAGGAGGAAGCTGGCATCAGAAATATGCATATCATGTTACTGGCTTTAGCACACCTCAACGTGTAGCTTCTGCTTGTATTTATGATTGTGACTGGATGTGAGTATAAATATTCTACTTGTTCTTAAAACATAATTCCAGGTGGACACGGTCAAGGCAGTGGACACGGTCAAGTATGTGGCACTACCACCGCAGGTACATAAGACAGTTAACTAAATGTTTTGGAGCATTCATACATTAAATTAAACTGTTGACAAAAGATGCTGAGTCTGTGTTTTCACAGAATTTGCAAGGTTTTATGCAAAAGACAGCATTTTTCAATATCTATGTTAGCTTTGACCTTCAAACTAAAAAAATGTCACTGTTGTGTTTACTTTATTACGTAAAGAGATCGTGACAGATAATTATTGACCATTGTTTACAGTGTTTATTCAGAATTGTATTGTATTCTTTCAGCGCCGGTCTCCTCCCAAACTCCCATCCATATTGTGGTGACAAACTCTGTGACCAGCGGACCAAGCAAAACTTACAGCACCTTCGTATCCTTCAGAGGCATCCTCATCGGAGGCATGAGGAGGCTCCAGGAGGCCGACAACACGTTTACGTAAGAGTGTCACTTGATGATTTCATAGTAACACATAATTACATTTCTGCTCATCCATGTTCAGATTTACCTACACTGAAGACCCAAACTACGGACCCTTCCTGCAGAGTGTGAATGGACTCCATGGAAACTTCTCTCAGGAAACCTACTGGATGCTGCAGGTCAAACTGGCAAATGGAACCACCATAACTCCTAATGTCGGTGAGTGAAAACTGTCAGGATAATGGAATTATAGACACTTTGTATTTGAACAGTCACTGAAATGTCTGTATAGGTAACATAGTATCATTCAGATGTGTCAAACAAGGCCGAATTATGTTCTTTTGCAGGTATTGGGTGCTACATCCCGAATGCAAACGATGAGATCATCTTTAAATACACCAGCTACGCTTCACACCCATAGAAACCACCGAATTGATCTTATTAATAAATTGTAATAGCCTTCTTCTAGAGTTCTTTGTTAAGAGATTTAATTTATCTCAAAAGCTATAATCGCCTGGGTCACATAATGTATGGTATGAGAGGGATTCTTTGGTATTGGTCTGATATAGAAAGATGTGGATTTGGCAGAGATATACTGCTGCTCCAGTCTGAGTGTCAGTTTTTAAATGTCACTGTTTACAAAATATATTATATAAACCATCAGTCCCACATTCATATATTGTAAATCTATAACCTCCCTATTTACTTTCTGTATGCTTTATCCGACAATAAACAATTGGCCGTGCTACGAACTTTGATGTACAGCTTTATGTGTCGATTGAACACGTCTGAAAATGAAATAATAGTGTCCCTCACGAATATAAAATGGAGTGCGACACGGTATCAATCTGACTTGTGGAAACATTGGCATGGTTGTCTTTTTAAAATGCCATTTTAATTGTCTGTCTTGTGCTTTATTTTTTATTTTATTTAATTGTATTGGACTGTGAGTCCGGAATAAAGTTGAATTGAATAAAAGATCTTTGTGCCTGGACCGGTTTTATTACTACATTTCTGACCTGACTCACATTTGCTGGTATTGTTTTTTTATAAAAAATAATTCACATTATTTTATTTATTTTTTGAAATATCTACATTTTCAAACTCTTTAATGAATTGGCCTCATACAGAAAACATTTTGACCATATCATATTTTACTATAATTATACATTGCAATAACCACTTGAACTTGCTCATCATTGCAGTGATTTTACCGAACCATTATGTATAAAGAACATGTAAAAAATTACAACAAAATCACAACTACACAAGAGTGATCAAACAGAGCTTTAATGGCAACATCATGCTGTTTGGGAGTTCTCACCACTTATTAAAATTTAGAATAATTTGCTCATGAGCTTTTGGCACATAGCATCCAATCCCTGAAAAGCACATGACCATAAGTTAGACAATGGAAAATACACACTTTTACATTGTATCAGATTGTATTAACATTTACTAAAAATGTAAATATATAATTATATTTGGTGCTTAACTTACCCGCATCAAGGCGAATGGTCTCTCCTGTGGGCGTCTTGACCAGGAGCTCCCAGTATGTGTGGTCACGGTCACTGCCAGACAAACCATTCACACTCTCCAGGAAAGGGCCAAAGTGTTCGTCCTCCTGGATCGAGAATCTAACAGCACATACAAGAGAGTTAGGCCTAGTTAGGCTTTGGTTCTTCAGAAGAGCAGAGTCATTATGTCCTTAGGAACTTCAGAAAAGGTAGACTTGTTTAATGTTGTAGTTATATGAAGTGTGTATTGTCACAATGCCGTACTTAAATCCTATATTGGAGCTCATGAGTCTTCTCATTGCTCCCAGCAGGATCCCTCCCTTCACCACCGACGCACCAAAGGTCTCAGCTGGAGTGTCCTTCACACTGTTCACCACTTTGATTTCTATTGGGACAAACTCATATTCTGCACAAAAACAGAAAGCATCAACATTCAGAAATGTTCAGGTTACTGCACAGCTGTGCCAAATGTCCATAGAGATGCATTTTCAAAAACAGTGTGAGAATGTGCTATGTCACCACTGCTGGTGATAAGTGAACCTCTTTAGATTCCAGTTGAAACATCTCTCTTGTTTACAACCTATTAGAATCCATTAGTTTATTAATGCTGTGTTCATCACTATTCTGTGCTGTTTTCCTGGCGGAGGATCCACTTATTGCTCAGGTCCTTCTAAGTAATGTTTTCACTGAGATTTTCCAGAGTATCGCAAACAATGTTTACATCTACAAACTAGCATATCTACACAGAAAATCACATTGCCAGGCATCAGGTTACGTTCCTAGATTACTACTACTACTTACTACTTACTTACTTCATACCATACTGTGGTACGTTCAGAGCAAAGCAATAATACATTTATGCCAAACAAGTGGGTATTTTACCATGGGTAAAATTGGGACTATCACTGGGAGAATGTGTACTCTTGCCCCAGTCTTAAAGTAGCTCATGTCCTACATGGGACTGATCATGTCACTTTAAATAGTTCTCTAGATAATAATTCAAGGGGAAAGATCAGAAACTTACCCTTGGTTCGAACCTCTGGAAGCAGTAGAAGAGGCAGCAGTAGAAATACGATAGTAGGAGTCATGTTGTAGTCGTCTGTACAAAATCTTGAAGTAAAACAGATTTATATACGGTCATAACATCCATATCTTTGCCAATCATTAACGCAAGTTGCATCACAGCCTTATTGTTCTGATGATGACTAATGTTAGAGTCTGCTTAAGTCGAGTGTAAGGTAAACCCTTTATATTATTGATGTTGGTTAGGAGTGGTTTGGTCTTATCAGAACTGTTTTGACATATGGTATACACATTTCTTGAAACATACACAACAGCCAGGACCATGGACAGAGATCATTGCTTCAACACAATTGCCAGTTCCACTTGTAGTTCAATAATCTAATCTAATGAGATAAAACGGGTGAATGTGTATGTGTGTATTGAGAAACTATTGTCCTTATCATCAGTGTGTATACTTGCTGGACTTGCATCAGTGTGTTTAAGGAGCACAGTGACCTGAACCAGTGCTAAAATGTGCCACAAGGTCAATACATAATGTTATTAGCCTGCTGCGATTGGATCTAAACCCAAAGAAGAGGGAAGAGGATAATCTTACCTCCTCTCAATGAACTCGGGATCTCAAAAGAGCTGAACTTCCTGTATAACAAGATCTGTGTAGTGTGTCTTTTTTTGTGCAATGTATTATTGCCCACTAGTGACCACGACAAAGAATGGCGTAGGATTTTACTGGAATTACGTTTTTATGGTTTCCGACCACAACATACTGTCTTTATCTTATAGACAATGTGATGTTGGTCTTCTTTACACTTTAATCTTGAAAAAAGTTGATCTAAAGATGTGACAGAGGTCAAAAATACACGAGTAAAAACTAGTGATAAAGGAGAGTAAGGAAGTACTTAGATGCATTTTATTACATAGTTCAGTTTTGTGGTTCAAATGTTAGGTACTCCATCTTAAGTTATCTAATTACAAACCCAACACATCATATCTGAACTTCAAACAAAGACAAAAAAGAATGAAGCTTATTGTCAAGTCATCACGGGACAAATTACCTGTGGGATTGTCCAGAAATGTTCCAGTATGCATAACAAACAGCCTCTTTGTCCGGCCAAAGGTGTGGCAGTAACTTAATATGAGTTTCTAAGAGAAGGAAAACAAAAATCTGTTGTCACAAGATAGTGTTGGAATAAAGCTCTGGAGGGCCACCTATGGGTGCTGACGTCACCCATAGCATTTGCCTTTTCCCGAAAGAAGCTGATTAAAAGCCGCCATGAACAGGAATGAAGCCCAGATGGAGAGTACAGAGCACAATAGGCTCGACATGGCAACTCCCTTCTATCCCTTTGTGGAGTAAGAGGAAAAAGCGCTTTGTAAAGATTACTCACTCACTTACTTACTACTTACTAGCAACAGACAATATCAAAATGAAAAACACCAGGATCATTTAGAGCAGCAAACGATTAAGCCCATTAGGTTAGTTTACGTTCAAATTTAAGTGCACGGGAAATCATAGAAATTAGAGCCAAATTTGCCCATGCGCATCTTGCAAAAAGGCTTCCGAGAACTATTGGGTCATAAATTAATTGATAAATTTGAAAGGGACAGTTCAAGACATAGTTACTAAACAAAGATGGCAGCCAAAGCCTTTGGTGTGTCAATAGTATTCACAAGAACTACCATGAAGCATCCAATCTGCACTCATCCCAGACTATCTCTTCCTCACAAGAACGCGATAGCATTTAGGATTTTGTATTCATAAGGAATACTATAATGAATGTATCAAATATTCTTAACTGTCTTGAAATGGAAAAAGATTCCTCCTCCTATCTTCCAGGTGGAATTCCACTAAAGTATGACTGCTGCAGGAGAGTTTGGCCCCAGGCTTCATTTAAAGGTGACAGTGCCGCATTGTGCAAAGGGGAGTCTCTGTTTGTAAGATTGTGATGACTGCTTGACGTTCAAGTCTTGACCTGTCACTCACACATTCTGTCGTCCCTTCAGCTTCAGAAATGCAGCATGTCTTGGCCTGTCGCGATAACTACATCCTCAAGAGTCCAGGTATTCACTGCAACTGGGGAGGAAATATGACAGCATGTAATCAGCTCTCGAGGAACTCCTGTCCAGTTAGTAAATAGTCTTAAACATCACAGAGTTTCTGTAGCCGGTTAGCAGCTAATTCGGGTTAGCTGTGATTTTGGGCGGAAATGGAAGAGCCTTATGGAAAACACACAGAAGGGCAAAATTTCTGGCAAAATTATACTAAATATCTTTAAGATTACAACATTAATTTGTTGTAGCACAAACCAAAAGAAACGTGGTTGAATCTGACTTTCAACCAAGCCCCGGTGATCCAAGATGGCGCCCTATTCAAATGAATGGCTTGTGCTCAGTAGTACATGGGACTTCACAGGCACCGAAAGATTAGCGGAACTCACCAATATTTGGGCATCGTCTGGTCCTCCCAGTTCTGCGCAGTGGACAAGCTCCCATGATGCGTTGCGCCAGATCGGGAAGGAAACGAGCAGAGTTTGTGGCAATAAAGTGTGGATTTAAAGAAAACTTAAGAAGATTTAAGAAGAAAAAAAGGTCAGGATGACAAGGGACACTAAAATCCCCACAAAATCCGACCTTTATGAAAGCTGTAGGTTCTCTGTCAGCTGAGGTCGAGATGTTTACATTGAGTTCTATGGGACTTTTTTCTAGGTAGCTCACGTGAATTTAGTCTGCAGTACCACGGGCAGCTATAAGCTAGTAATACCCTATCCAGTTATTATTATAGATCCATGCTTTCAACACAGAGATATTGTCATTACAGATTGAGATAAGCCCTTCAGAAAAAAAAAAAAAAAACATGTGACTGGAGGTTGGTTTAAATCAGTTAATAGAGTATTCCCTTTAGAACACTGGGCAGTTAACAATGACCAAACAAATGAATTAAAAGGAGCCCTTAATATATTTTCTTTTAAAAACTTAGGCTAAGTCCTGGGCAATATTCCATAGTTCGTCCAGTTTCATTCTGGGTATTCACTGGGGCGACAGTGGCTCAGTTGGTAGAGCATTGGCCCAACTCCACTGATGTCTGCTGTCGTTGTGTCCTTGGGCAAGACACTTAACCCACTTTGCCTATAAGGGGCGCGGAAGTGATGTTCGCTGCTTGCTTTGATGTTTATGTCATGTGTATGCATCAAACTGATATTTCCTCAAGGACCTCCTTCTTCTTCTTCATCATCATATTTTTGTTGACTTCAGAATCAGAATCAGAATCAGAATCAGAATCATTTTTATTGCCACGTAAGTAACAGGATGTCACAGACTAGGAAATTGCTTTGGCTCAGTGCAACAGTCAAAAAGAGATAATAAAAATAAGAATAAAAAACACTTCTAAAGAATAAATTTAAATTTAAAATAGAGTTACAGTTACTATTTACAATATACAAGTGCACATGGTGCACACAATGTAAGGTGACAGCAGTACAGTGAAGTAAAGTGACATATGATGGGCAGTAAAGTGACTTTATAAAGGGCGGGGGGACAGGTTAAGAAGTGTTCAAGAGTCCAACAGCAGAGGGGAAGAAACTGTTCTTGTGGCGGGAGGTTCTAGTCCTGATGGACCGCAGCCTCCTGCCTGAGGGGAGTGGTTGGAATAGTCCATGTGCAGGGTGAGAGGGGTCAGCTGTGATACGACCAGCCCGGCCTCGAGCTCGGGCGACGTACAGGTCCTGCAGCGATGGAAGGCTGCGGCCGATCACTTCCTCTGCAGAGCGCACAATGCGCTGTAGTCTCTGTTTGTCTCTGACTGTGTCTCCAGCGAACCACACGGTGACGGAGGAGGTGAGGATGGACTCGATGATGGCCGTGTAGAACTGCACCAACATCTGTGCAGGCAGCTTGGCTTTCCTGAGCTGCCGCAGGAAGTACATCCTCTGCTGGGCCTTCTTGATGAGGGAGCTGATGGTCGGCTCCCACTTGAGGTCCTGGGTGATGGTGGTGCCCAGGAAACGGAAGGACTCCACAGAGGTGATGGGGGAGTCCATCACGGAGGGTGGGGGTGGGGGGACAGTGCTCTCCCTGAAGTCCACAATCATCTCCACTGTCTTCTGGGCGTTCAGCTCCAGGTTGTTACCACTGCACCAGGACACCAGCCGGTCCACCTCCCTCCTGTAGGCGGACTCATCGTTGTTGGAGATGAGTCCAATGAGGGTGGTGTCGTCCGCGAACTTGATCAGCTTCACGGAGTCGTGGCTGGAGGTGCAGTGGTTGGTGTTGAAGTCAATAATTCCCTTGACTGACGTGTTCGAGTTGATGCAGAGGCATGACAACAGATCTCCAAGTTTTAACATCTGTATTTAATTTATCTTTACAATCAGATACAGAAATTCCAACAAAGAGGGCTCCTAAAACTATGCATGTCCCTCTCTGGCCCTCGGCTGATCTGGTCTGAGGCTGGTCTTCCTGTTTGCTCTCCTCGTCCTTGGGGGCTGCCGAAAAGGGATTCACACATTCCAACCTATAGCTTCTTCCTTATAAGGAAGAAGCCCTTCTCCAAACAACTCTTATCTGGCTGGGGGAGGTCTGGTCCGGGCTTGGTCCTTCTCTGAATTTCACTAGATCCAGGCTTAATATTTGCACAAAGACATGGTATGCAAACACCTACTGAAAATCATTAGTATACAACATTTTAATTATACAACAGTTTCCCTCTTTTGACCTGATTAAAAATTAGGTCACAATCCACATCGTCGTTTATCATCAATACTTGTGCTTAGTTCAGGCTTGATATCTGTGAAGAGTTAATACAGAAAGAATACACACACAACAAACCACATTCTAACCATTCCTTCAATACTATTTGATGACTACTGCTGTGTCATTCTGAGTCTTTATCAACCTCGTCTGTAATGTATGCACTAAAACTATTCACTATAGTTTAAACTATTCTAATCTATTTACAAATATGTTTGCATATTTGTTTTTATTGAGCCACATTCTTAAACATATGTTTTTATCTAATAAATCTATCTATACTGTGGTTTGCTTTCATTATCAGTGGCTTTGGGCTATTTTG